TCAGTGGCGTAGCCAGCCCGACAATTTAGTCCCGCTATGCAAATTCAAAATTATTATCATTATTCATTTCTTTAGAAATTGATTGTTTTCACAGTCAATGAACACGAAAATATTTGCATAGCGGGACTAAATCGTCGGGCTGGCTACGCTACTGATGAAAATGTATCCTTATATTATATATATATATATATATATATATATATATATATATATATATATATATATATATATATATATATATATATATATATATATATATATGTATATATATATAATTGTTTGTCATTGCTTTTCTTTGTAATCGTCTTGTCATTTTAATTTTATGCTATTTCCTAACCTATACCCCACCGGGCACACGACGTTGTTTCAACGTTGAAATTTGGTAGAAAAAAGGTTGCGACGTCGACAACCTAATATCTACGTTGCTCTGACGTTGTTTTACAAACATTGTTTCAACAGCAGCCAACAGACGTTGAATTAACGTTCATTCATGGTTAAATGTACGACGTCGACTTGTGAACCAATCTCAACGTTGTTTTAACGTGGATTCAACGTTGAATTATGGTTGACGAGATTGGCAACCTAATTTCAACGTTGTTTCAACGTCGAAACAGTAACGTCGATCCAATTTGCATAGTCAACCCTTTTCAACGTCTATCCAACGTCTGGAAGGTCATTTCCAACGTTGATTCAACGTTGGATAAACGTTATTTTGCCCGCTGGGCTCAAACTATCACTCTCTTCCCCTCCATAGTCTTTAGTACAAAGTCTCTTGGCATTTCCTGTACTCGCGTTCGCCATCATAACGCTGTTGGCTTCTCTTTCTCGTTTTAAATCTACTTCACAAATCACAACTCGCTTCATTATCATCACTAACCTTTTCTTTTATCTCCGGTTTAGCCAAATCACGAGAACCGCATTCGAAAGCTTTGGAAATCCTCAGTTTCATTGACAAGTCAGGCCTCTGGTATCTATTCAAACCATGTGTCAACCAACCACTCAATTTGTGCTCACTTTGTGTTGCTCGGCCGTATCCTCGATTCTTTCCATTCCTCCATCTTTCCACGAACTTATTTATTCTCTGCAGCATGACACAATTCACCGCTAAAGAAATCGCGAAAGAAATCAAATCTGTCTACTTCTAAATTCTCTTCAATGAATGTACTATATTTTGAGTGATAAACAAGTCTTCATCACTCCCAAGCTCTTCCATGACTCAACTGATTTTCAATGCACCATGCATTCCATCTTAACATTTGAATATGACAATAGAATCATGCTAAACTAATGCTTTCTTTACAACAACAATACTTTCTATATCATTGTATTATCTCATTAAATTCATGCATTACAGGGTGTATAAAAAAAACTGAACCCTTTCAAATTCGCTATAACGTATTGTAGTAATTTGACTGCTCTAATTGCTTTGAATTAATGGTTGCATGGGTAAGAACACAAGGTCTTGTACTCATGGGACAAAACTCTTAAAAACTTTTAAATTTTCTAATTTTTATTTCTTTGTGTTTCGTCCCATGAGTACAAGACCTTGTGTTCTTACCCAACCATTAATTCAAAGCAATTAGAGCTGACAAATTACTACAATACGTTATAGCTAATTTGAATTTGAAAGGGTTCAGGTTTTTTTTATACACATTGTAGGTATGTAGGTAATGATACGTACTGATCCAATGAGCGTGACCCTGTTCATTGAAATTATTTAACTTTACAAGCATCACAATCCAAGGAACAATAGATTTTTACGGAATTAGAGGGAACACAAGGCTCTAACCTTGGTCCTATTCTATTTCTATTGTGCATCAATGATATTCCCAATTGATCAAAGTCAACTAAAGCAAATTATTTGCTGATGACACAAACCTTTCCTGTGAAGGGCCAAGTCCTCATTGAAAATGTTCACAGTTAACTAACAGCTAATAAACTTTTCTTAAATATGAAAAATGAGTTCAAGCATAATACGATCAAGACATCGCCTAACTTCAATTGAAAATAGCCCAGCATACTAACATCAAGGGGAAGCAACATCCAACGCGTTTTTGAAAAAAAGTCACTTGACAACTGAAATGGAACAAATATAATGATGCATGCATAACCATAGCCTAGCGAAGGGAAGATGGCTGTGAAACTCATTAGAATAACAATATAACTCATTATGATATTAGTCAACGTTTATTCATAAATCTGGTCGTTTCACCGTCACGTGCGTATTGTATTTTTACCAAATCCACCAATAGCAATTTCCAGTTTCCCTATTGTTCGAGTCACGGATAGGTGACTTTCCTAAAACATTGCTATTGGTTAGTTGGGCAAAAATACAATACACACGTGACGGTGAAGGACCAGATTGATGAATAAACGTTGACCAACATAGATAATGAGTTCTATTGTTATTCTAATGAGTTTCACAGCCATCTTCCCTTCGATAGGCTATGGCATAACGTAAAGTAATTTCAAGATCGCCCTTTTGTTCCTAGCGAAACGTTAAAGATGCTGTAAAGTCCGTAATGTAAACAAACGCTTTGTTTACATTTTGAACTCAGTCCTACATGCACAGTTGTAAAATATGATTAGCTATATATTATACTGAATTTTTAACACTCTTCTGGTTCGCTATGCTTGTAAATTAACACAGACTAGAGATTCAATTCAAGAAAGTTCGGAAGGTGCGAAATATACATTCCAATGGTCGGGTCCCGACCATTGGAATACAGGCCTGCGCAGAACGGACTTCACAGCATCTTTAATAAAAATGTACAATGCCTTGGTGTGGCCACACTTCAATTATTGTTCAACAATCTGGAACGATCGGTTTTGATTGATAATTGATAAACTAACAAGACGCCGACTCGGCGTTAACCTCGGGTCGGTGGATAGGGCATCGTCTGCATGGTAAATATGCAAAAATGGTGTAAATCACGATAGTTTAATAGTTCGCTAGTATAAATGGTGAATCAGTCAATCAAAGCTCCGTTTTAACATTTTATTGATAATTACTGACCCTCATCAAACCTATTGTTTTCTCTCTGCATTATATCAGCGGATGTCGAGAATTTTTAACGTTCTACTGAAAAACGGGAGCGGTGATTGTAGGGAAATTTCGGCCCAAGGTAAATATTTATACGGACTAAAAATAGCACACAGCATTATTAAAAATAATGCAGCATGCAGACATTAGCGGTAGTGCATCTTCGTCAGCGGCCACCCCGACATGCACACGCGATAGCGTGAACATCCCAAGATGGGAAGGTGACAGTGCCTGAAGCGCTGCCAAAAACGGCCACCATGAGTCCTTTCAGTTCAATTTTATAGAGAAATAGTTTCGTTTGCGCTTGTGGGATTTTATCCTAGATATACGCATGTGCGGAACACACCATAAGCTCTATTCCCGTGTTTATCCAGTTTAATACCTTCTTTGAATTAGCCTTATCATTACTGATAATATGTAAACTAGAACACTATAATTGACCTCTGCTTGTGGAGTTTTAATTTAGGGCGATTAATTAAACTGAAATCTGTTCTATCACAATGCACTACAGTGCCTATGGTTATGTCTATATGCGTGTCCTCACAAATGTCTAGTGTAACGTTGGATAAGTTCATTGTCATACGGTCCCGACAAGCAGCAACGTACAGTAGTCTTCCAGCCGAAAATAATTACTTTTGATTCGGGTCAGTAATTATAATAGATAACAAGTGAAAGTTGGCCGCGGTATTCCCATGCTATGCATACGAAGTATTGTGCATTATATCAACATATACTCGAGAATAGTTATCCAGCTAAACATGTATGTCAAAATTATCACATCTTCTGGTTTTAAATTAGCCTGCGAACAGGCCCTGGGTTGCGGGCGGCGCGAAGAATAGAGGGCCTGCACGGATGATAGGTTTTCTTGGTAGTGGCGTTCGTATAGAAACGCAGGCTTCTGATTGGCTTACACTCGTTGATAAAATTACTAAAAATAGCAAATGTCAACAACAGCATTTTGAAGAATTTGAACTTTATTCATTTTAATATTATATATTATAGGACTATCGAACAAATAAAACTAGAAATGGAAACCAAAAGCAATAGCAAAGCATCACAGCAAAAAAAGTCTATCATAAATGACTTGAATCTATCGCTTAAATCCAATATACGAAACTATAACAGTATTCTGAACTTCGTCTTCGGATTGACATCAGACCATAGTATAGTACATTTTGAGGGCGTCGTGGCTTCACGGATTATTCTCATTAGTGAGCAAGTCAGCAAGCGAAGGCATACAAAAGATACCCAAATATGTACGAATAATTATATTGTCGATCCTCGCTGGCATGTCATTTAGATAAATATATATCGTACATTAAACGTTGTACTGTTTACTGTATATTAACTGCTGACAATTTCGTCGTCGATACGGCTTCCACCATTGGCACACTCGTGATTTCGAAGAAATTAATAAATACATGCTCATTTATCATTTATTTAGACCACAGTTAGTAAAATTTTAAACGTATTCGGTATTCCAAATCCCAATCTATCTGACCACAGGCGGCCCAATCTCGCAAGAGTCAGTATAGACTTAATATAGTATAAATGTATATTATATTAATGTATATTATAGTAAAAATATGTCGTAAAATATAAATTTTAAAATGAAATTGACTTGCCTATTTGATAGTGTGTGTTCTCCTTTTATTCCTCCTTTGTTGGACTAATATTTTCCAAGACTTTGTACTCGATGTTACTAGTATACATGAAACATGATAAAGGCTAACGATTCCCGATCGTCGATACGACAGCACGGCACTTCGAATCGAAAATTCTCACACTCAAATCGCTTTATTCTCAAAAAAAATTCGCCAGCTTGTACAGCAAATGCCGTTCTTCGAAAATACAGAGGTACTTCGGCGAGATGTACAAGTTTTGGACCATATTTTAACAATGGAAATCAAAACCCATTTTATATTGAACTTGCCCAGGCCGAAAATTACTACGGCGAACGTCTGCGCAACCAGGCCTCCTTTACCGTTGGATTTACAGGGGGGGAGGATGCCACTAATATATTCACGATAATATTTCGAATTAAAGTATCATATTCTACCATACTTTCCAACAAAGAGCCGCTGTATATTATAATCTTCTTCCTTAAATTTCTTCAATCTCCGTCGTTTAATTTTCTTTTCTTCGACAACATCTCGAGTTTTATACAGTATCCGATCGAAGGAGTTTTTATTTTGAATATCAAATTTCAAATAATGTAAACAGTCGCTATCGCGGCCGCGATTGGCTGGCTGTTACCGGAAATATCTGCTCCCCCCCCCCCTATAAATCCAACGGTAAAGAAGGCCTGGTTGCGCAGACGTTCGCCGTAGTAATTTTCGGCCTGGGCAAGTTCAATATAAAATGGGTTTTGATTTCCATTGTTAAAATATGGTCCAAAACTTGTACATCTCGCCGAAGTACCTCCGTATTTTCGAAGAACGGCATTTGTTGTACATGCTGGCGAATTTTTTTTGAGAATAAAGCGATTTGAGTGTGAAAATTTTCGATTCGAAGTGCCGTGCCGTCGGATCGACGATCGGGAATAGTTAGCCTTTATCATGTTTCATGTATACTAGTAACATCGAGTACAAAGTCTCGGAAAATATTAGTCCAACAAAGGAAGAATAAAAGGAGAACACACACTATCAAATAGGCAAGTCAATTTCATTTTAAAATTTATATTTTATGACATATTTTTACTATAATATACATTAATATAATATACATTTATACTATATTAAGTCTATACTGACTCTTGCGAGATTGGGCCGCCTGTGATCTGACCGTATTTTAGTAATAGCTTCAAAATATTCAGAACATTGTTCTTTCAGTCGCACATAGTACAAGTATTACTGTACATTCAACGCCAATGGTAGTTTATTCGGCTTTATATTTGTATGTGTATTGATATCTATTTAATATTTGAAGAATTCTATATTTTTCCGAGTAATATATTGTGCGGCCCGCTAATGCTTTGTATTATTATTGTTCATGTTGCACAATGTACACGCCTTGCGTCAATTTGACAGTTGACAGTTTATTTATCGCAGTCGACGCTGATTGGTTAGCGTTTAGCAGATGCGAAAAGGGGATGAATGAATAAAACGCATGGTTCCGTGCAGGCTCACCTTTCTCCCAGTGAGCCTGTTCGCAGGCTAGTTTTAAATCAACAATTCTGACGGATTTTGTGCAAGGACAGCTTCGGGTTCCGTTTCGCTTTGGCCGATGCTTGCCGGAAGTACACTTATTTACCGGAAGTTGTCGTCTCGTCCGCAGGCCCTTCGATCTTCGACTACGCGCGCGGCTCGACACAAATGGAAAAAAAAATAATAAAAAAACAAGAAAAAAAAAAAAATAGGAGCCGAATTTAAGACCTCGGTGTCGTCCGACCCGAGGTAATAAAATTACGTATGTTGTAAATAGACCAACAGACAATGTAGCTTAGTTCTTTTCTAAACCTCTCTAAATGGGTTACTTCTCCTGGTTTTTTATTCGTTTTTGCACGCCCTTTGCGGAAAGCAGCTTAAGGTGGCTCGATACAGTTTTCAAAAATTCAGGTGTTCAACACTTTGACATGTTCAAACTACTCACTTTTGGGATTTATTCAGCAGATATTGGGGTTTTTATATATTTTGATAACTCTACTTTCAAATTATATTAGTTTTCGTAACAGATAGTTCGTTGCTATGACGACATACGTGTACGAAATTCACTCCAAAAGGGTCTATCGCCTCGTATTGTTGGAAAAGAAGCATGGTGACCCCCATTTTTTTTTGTGCATTATTTTACTTGGACTAAAAGCTAACAATTAGCAAAATATATAAAAATTCTGTAATGCCATTTTTTTGGAAAATGCGAAAATGTCATATTCTTCGGTAAAATATTTTTGGCATTACAGAATTTTTTTATTTTTTGTATAATGAAAGTTTTTAGCGGTACAATACAGCATACAAAATTTGAACATAGGTCACCAGACAAAATAAAGAGATATAGCGCATTGTATTTCTAAAATGGAAAATTCTAATAACGTCAGCAATTGACATAAAACGCTATAGAACACGCGCAATGGCGTGATATGGCGCGAGCAACTGCTCACGTCAGGTCATTTTGGAAGTTCTTTCATTTTGTTAATCAGCTTCCGAGACCTGCGCGTAAAAATGATCACCCGTTTTGAGTTCGCGATTCTTGAGCAGGGTTCTTGTGATAACTATATCGAGCCACCTTAAGTTGACATGGTCAGCGTGTTGAGATAAAGTTTTACTATCATTATTACTAGATTTGTCTTTGTGCGGTTTAACCATGGAAATAATAGATCAGTATAAAGTGCGTACTTGATCATGCACGAATCATGTCTCCACTTTTTCTCATGCGTGCCCCGGCTTATAAATCCGCCATGTTGAATTT